CTTCCAACGAGTCATGACAGTTCTGTAGGATCTCCTGAACCATCGTTGTTGGCACCACTAGGCGTAGTGTCGTCTCCTCGGCCCGGTCGCGACCCCACCGACGGTTCGCACCAAGGAAATACAGCAAGCCATCTTCGCTTAACACGAACTTGTCAGCCATCTTCCAGGCTTCGCGTGCAGCTTTGTAGGCAAGCTTCGCTTCGTCTCCCTTTAGCACCGTCTTGAGGTTTGACCACCGGAACTCCTCATCCTGGGCTGTGCCAATGCGCCTGCGCCGTTCTTCCTGCACAACTAGCGGGTCGATGTCGTCAGCACTCGGTTCATGGACCACCGTTGCGTCAGGTCTCGGTTGGTCCGGAAGTTCGTTAGACTCTTCGTTGCTGGCGTCGTTAGCTTCGTCTCCTTCTGTTCTCTCTTCTGGTTCATCACCCGAAGTTTCATCGGCAAAGCGTACTTGTTTCGCACGCGCGCGGGCTTGTTGCCTCGTTCCCGCGGCAACATGTCCAGTATCCCGTACAAAATCGAAAAAATTCTTACTACGGTCCCTGTCACGCGTATCCATCACACGTATCGAGTTCACGTGACGCGTTACGACTTCTCCAGAAGCTTCAGAGGCTTCGGCTGACGGTTCATAGAGCACTTCTCGGATCCGATTCAATTCCATCAACTCTCGTTTTCGGTCTTCGCTGTTCACCGTCATCGACACCTTCTTCTCCGAGGTTTCGCTCGCCAATGAGTCTGCGGCTGCATTGAACTCTCGGATAGCATGTAGGTACTTCACGGACCGAAGTCTCGCGGTCAGTTCCTTGTGCTTATTCAGTTGTGCCATCAGCGACTCCTTACGGCAAGCGATCACCCCTAGGGATGGCTGGATTGCGAGTCTCGAGTCCCCGACGATGACTAAGTCCTCGGCCCCATGTTCCAGGGCGGCAGAGACCCCGTTGTTCATTCCGGTGTACTCAGCGAGGTTTACAGTCGTGGTCTCGAGATACGCACTCGCAGCGATCACTACACTCCATTCAGGAAGTCGCCATAGTATCCAGGCGCAACTGCCGTATCCACCATGCTTCTCGGTCTTCGCCGAGCCATCAAACGAAAGTACGTAGCCACTGTATGTACGTGGCAACCGTGCATAAAGAAAATGCGGATCCATCCGAACACTCGGCGATCCTTTGGCTCGAGGGGTCACTGGTGCCAACGAGGCTTCGAGGTCAACGAAGCTTGTGATCGTCGACTGTAAGAGCTGCGCGAAGGCGCAATCCTTTTCCTTGACTCGTTGCACCACTAGACTCCACGGAGACAGTAAGACGGCAAATTGCGTTGCACGTCCGAAGAGTGTCTTCGACTTGTGGACCCAGTCGAGCGTCGAAAACCGCGTGTAGGCATGTATGGTCCGACCGGCCAGCTGGGTGTAACACACCTTCAACAGCTGTAGCAAAGCCAGTACCTCATTTTCCGCCGGATGGTACAGGGTGCATCAGGCCATCGTGCTCCTGCATGAGCGTGGTGCTCACTGCCCATTCATTTGCAAACAGCGTCACATGGACCTCTAGGTCACGGTCGAAGTGTCGGAGGACAGGTGCTTCACCGACCTTTCGTTGCAATGCCGCGAAGCTTCGCTTGGCTGCAGAGAGGTCACCCCCTGGTGCGAAGTCTTCGTCTCGTAGCTGGTATAGCGCGGCACCGTAGACAGCAAAGTCCTGTATGAAGCGGCTGTAGTAGTTCAGAGCGCCAAGGAAAGCTTGCACTCCCTTCTTGGACCTTGGGAAGGACAGCTCGGTGATAGCCTTCAACTTCTTTGGGTCCGCTCTAATACCACTCCGGGACACTTCGTGAGACAGGAAGTCCACCTTGGGCTGCACGAAAATGCTCTTGGTGAAACTCACGCTGATCCGACATTCCTCGAACCGGGCGAGGAGTCGATCGAGCGTCGCTAGACATGCATCGAAAGACTCGCCGCCAAAGCAAATGTCGTCAACGAACGAACGCCGTTCGAAAACCGGCACCAACGAAGACTCGTCGGGCTCTCCATTCGCGAACATGTCCGCAATAGGACTGTTGATTAATTCCGAGACCGAGCTTTCGTTCGATCCGAGTCCAAGTCCCGCTTCAAACTTCGTAGGCGACTGGTCCGGGTCGGACGACTCTTCATGTGACTGTTCGGTCGAGGCGTCGGCGAGTTCACGGTCGCGTGCTTCAGCTTCTGCCATCAGACGCGCATAATGCTTCCAGCCACCCTTCGGCTGAACAAAGCCCCACAGAGCGTTGTCGAGCATTCGTTGGTAGATCATAGGTGCATTTTTAAGCCCAAAGGGCATTCTGAGCCACTCGAAATGACCCAGTGCACACACAAAAGCAGAGATCTGACGAGCCCTCTGTGTCATCATGATTGCCCAGAGCCCACTCGCCGCATCAAGCGAGCAGTACCACAGATACTTCTCCAGGTCTGTGAGCAGATCATCCACAAGGGGCATTGCATACTCCATGATAGCGGTGACTGCGTTCACCATCTTGTAATCAATGTATCTACGCCATTCTTCCTCAGCACAATCACGATCGGTGACGACCATGGGCTGTTGGAGAACGCGATCAGACCGGCCTTGAGCAAACCTCGCAAAAGCTCGTAGAGCTTCTTGAGGTGTCGGAGGGGAATCCTCCGTGCTCGTTGCTTGATAGGCGCATGGCCCTGTACATCGATGTCGCACACTACACCATACGCAGGCGGTGGTAGAGCATTCCCACTAGAGATCATGATCTTCTCATGTTTCTTCAGAACCTTCACTAAGCGATCCTGCCGTCCTCTACTCAGTTCCGGGTGCCGGACATTCTCAGCCGAGTAGTCCAGTTCCGTGACCGAGGCTTCTGTAAGGTCGGGCAGGAAAGCTAGTTCATGAGCATAATCTTCCAAGTTGATCTCATTGGGCAAGTGTTTGGCTCGGGCATTGCCAGCTTCGACGTCAGCTTCTCCATCCTCAACGTCGACAACGGCGGCGGCCGACAGATAATTGCGTGTCAGCACTGCTACCGAGTCTTCATCTTGGACTGAGTCTTCGGACCCCGGGGACTGTTCACTGTCACCCCAGTCTGAACGGTCTTCAGTTACGTCAGAGGGTTCGGCTGGCACTTGGCTCGCTATCACCCCTAGGTCCGAGGCGTCGTCATCGGTGCTGGCATCCGAAGCTCCTTCACTCTCAGACTCGATTGAACCTTCGGTACTAGTGTCATCGGCTTCCACGTGCACGGGAGGGAGCGCCACCGGATCATCACCCACTGGTGAGCCGTCGGTGGCGAGTTGCTCCTGCTCCTCACGCTTAGCGATTTCACGTTCCCACTGCTCGGCACAACTCAGCTGGCGGCCGTGCGTCTGGGAGGCTTCGGGTGGCCGGGGTAACACTCCGGCCGGCACTGCATACTCCGGTCGCTCCACAGCCGAAGGCTGAGAGGCCAGCCAATCCGCATAGGCATCACACTCACGCTTGAACACCGTTTCATCCCGACTTCCGTCATACGCCAACTTCTGCCAGTCCTCGTGTCGTTCCGAACTGAGTCGAACATAACCTTCAGACTTCGGGAGATCTCCGATCGGTACCCACATTAGCATAGGTGAGTGAGCACGGCAAACCGTAAAACGTTTCGACACGTTCGTCAACCGCACTCTCTCGACCTTGCCTCGCCGAAACTTCGTTACCGTAGGCAACAGAGACTTCGTGCGACGTACCCACACCTCGTGTGTATCCAGAGGTGGTTGACGCCTCGGTACTCTGTACTCTGCGAACTCTCGGCTCTCAATGGTTAGGTCCTCGGACGGACCACCGTTGACGTGCGGGCCTTCACCTTGGTCATTCAGCATGTTCAGCGTCTTAATGAGTGGAATACTCACCTCGTCCGGCAACCTCGCGGTCGCGTGGAACAAGTCCAAGCGCACTCCTGCAGGAATCACGAAGTCGGTGCCGAGGACTACATCCACGCCAGCACCATGATCCATAATCCACAATTCGAATTCGTACACTCTGCTCCAGCCGAGGGTTACTTTCACGAGAGTTCGTCTCTCGGTTGTCATGGTTCCTTTCGTAAAACCCTTAACCTCCATACAGCGGCCGTGACCTTGGATATCACGCAACCGCAACTGCTTCGCGAACCGTTCGGAGACCACACTAACATTCGCGCCAGTGTCCAATAGAATCCTCGTTCGCGTGTCATTTACCGCGCCCTTGACCAGAGCTCTCATCCGAACTCTCTTGTCGAACTTCTGCGCGGACCACCACCCCAGCCTCTCGCCTGGGAGTAACTTCGTCACCCCACTGGGCGTTCGGCCAGGGTGTCCTTCTTGCACCGCACTTGAGACCCAAGCCTCGGTGTCATCTTCATCATCTTCATCATCATTCATTTCACTTGTTACACCTCCACCGAGGGTTGCCCCTCTCTCCTTTTCATTTTCCGTCGTTTTCACACATTCCTTGTCCTTGTCGTTCGGCCGTTTACTTTCGCCCACGAATGCGTAGACACAGTCTGCATCAATCGCGGACTCAGTTAACTGTGGCAGCCCGATTGGGACCAACCCAGTTTCAGTTGGCGGGCTGCCTAGTTTAAATTGCCACCGAAGACTAGGCTTTGGAGCTCTGGCGAGAGGTCCTTCTTCTCGGCCTTCGTTTTGATGAACGAAGTGAGGGCTTGAAGTGCTTCGCACTTGCCGATGTCATGCACCTGCTGGCACAGTCGGCGGCGGCGGTAGCAGTAGTGAGCCGAATGCCCGGCTCCACCACAAGCTGCGCACGGTCCGTACTGACGCGGACGACCATCACGGTTGTCTCGGCCGGAGTGGCGGTTACTCCGGTCGAATCCTCGGCTGGGTTCACCACCCTTGCGTTGACGTTGGTCAGGGCGCGCGTACGTTCCTTCAGCTGCTTGGCGTCGCTCGCGCTCATTGGCAGCAGCGACGTGAGCTCCTTCCTCACCAGAGCTGCTAACGTCACTGTAGCCACCATCACTCGGATCGCTCTCGGAGTAATGATAATCACTGGCGTCACTCTCGCTGTCGCTGTACGGGGTACGGCGTGGCGACGAGCGCTCGGCTCTACCACCCTTGGTACCGCGGACTTGCAGTTCAGCGACCAAGTCTGACAGCGAAGCTTCAGCTAGCGAAATGCGCGGAACATGGCGCGAGTCATCGCGGCGACGTTCGTAACCACGGTCGCGGCCGCGACGGTAACTGTCACACGAAGCTTCGTGGCGACGGTCATCACGACGACGCGGTTGGTCTCGACTGCGCGAGTGGTGAGACGAGGTCTCGCGCGACTGCCCACGCTCTTCAGACTTCAAGATGTCGTTGATCATGTTCTCGAGTTCGTGAATGTCCTTCACCCGAACGTGGCAAAGCCGGCGTTCGAGGCTTCGGTCACCGCACGTCTCGAGGAACCGCTGTACATGGTCCTTCGCATCGCGACCACCACTCTCGAACTGTAGGCCAGCATTACGGGCGTAACCATTCAGTCGGTTGAGGTAGTCACAAAGGTGTTCCGAGGACTCGCGCTTCGCAGAGTAGTAGCGAGCCTTCGCAGACTGGCTAAACTGCGAGCAGTAATACTTGATAAACGCATCGCTCAGTCGCTTCCACTGACGCTTAGTCCTCTTCGGGAGTTGACGGTACCAGTGAAGAGCACCGTCCCGAAGGCTCAGCTCGAAAGCCATACACCACTCGTTAGGCGGAGTGTGCGTTCCCTTCATCTCGTAGACGAAAGCTCGGAGCCACTGCATAGAGTTTTCACTCCGATTGCGGGCTCCTGAGAAATTCTTGATCTGCGCAAGCGGCCGGTGTGTGGCGATCTCGAGCCGAGGAGTCGAACTCAGTCGCTCCATCTCACTCACTTCGCGCACTTGACGGGCCAACTCATCGCTCGGGCTGTCAAACCCATCTTCATAGTCGATGTTGTCATTGTCGTCCTCGTCGGACGAGGAGTCATCGCGCGGTGTAAACCGGCGGTTTGAGCGTCGCGTGGAGCTTCGTTGTGTTCTCCGCTCGCGTCGCGAACCTTCGGACTCACGCGCAATACGGTCGGCTCGACTCGCCGACCTAGGAGTCACCATGTGCGAGTCTTGGAAGTACGGCGAACCTTCGGTCTTGGCGGAGAACACTCCGTCCGTCGCTTGGCTTTGATTTGACCGCTCGGCGGACTTCTTGGGTGTCTGTGGCAGTGGGATCTTCGAAGGATCAGCTTGCTCCCTCGCGGGGCGAGCACTCGGGGGGCGTCCCAGAGTCAGGTCCGACTCCCCGAAGCTCAGGCGAAGCTTCCTCTTCCACTTATGCAGCTCCTTGCCGGCGAGACCCGGCGTCCAACTCTTGATCGAGACTTCGGACGGACGAGTCCTTGGCTCGCAGCCCATCGCTCGTAGGAGGGACACCACCTGAGTAACTGAGGTCGACTCAACGGGGTGTTGTAACTCCTCCTTCAGCTCAGCCCAAGTCGCTTGACGCGTCATCTCGGGATTGAACTGCCATATCCACTCGCTCGACTCCACCATCTGCTCGAGCATTCTGCCGAGCACCTTGTTTGCAGCTGGAGTGCTGCTGTTCATAGCGGGCCGACTTCCGCGGGATTCTTGAGGACCCTTAGTAACCTGCACCAGAGCCCTCGAAGCCGAGGTCTCGGTGCCATCCTCAAAGTCGTCATCCGCATGGTCGGGTTTCGCCACTTCATCAAATTCCGCGACGAGGTTCCGCGACAAGGAGCGCGAGCCTCCGCTACGTCCCGCGGACAGCATCGCATCTTCTTCATCTCCGAACTCCTGCGTCGTCGCTGGAGTCTTCTCCTCCAGGTCATCATAGTCCATCATCATGTCATCCTTGGCGTCCGAATCTTCGTCGACCGACTCTTCGAAACTGACCGACCTTTCGGAGAACGTCGACAACCGAGACGTTAAGTCACTCGCGATCGTTGACGAATCTTCGGCCGATCCTCGTCCCGACTTCACCGGCGTAGCTGGTACCGCTGACTTGGATCCTTTCGCCATCTTGTTCTTGTTCTTGTTTTTGTCTCTTCTTCTCTTCTCTCCTCAATGCTCGTTGGGCAAAATCTACACAGACTACAACACACAATCGGTCACACCAGTCCCGGGTCGCGGCACCAGTTGTCGTGTAGGAAAACACGAGTTTACGAGTCCTCGCCCTATCAACCGAAGTCTCTAGGACGAGCCCTACCAACAACACACGCCATCTCCGAAGAGTCGGCGATAGATTGTCGGGATCATAAACCTGAAGACCAGGTCCGATCCCTTATACGGGCTGGAATGTGCCTCCCTGTGTGTTGCGGGTCAGGTAGGTTTACCCTTCGTTAAAATATAAGAGCACCCTTAGCCACGAGCCACGGCTAGGGTGCAATGTGTAATACGTGCTTTCGCACTAAATCTCTGTGGTCCCTCAGAAAGGAAGGGTACCAGGCCAATCGAAGCCTCTTACAGGGGCGCCGGGGCGAAGCCTCGGCTAGAAGTCAAATACACTGGGGTGTCCTTGCCTCACACCCAGTCAAACGTACAACTGTACATAGAGGTCTCTAATACCTCCCAACACTCGGCCACCTACTCACTCTTGGCCTTACCAGGATGAACACTCGGTCAATGCACCGGCAGACATACCCCGTGCAGCCGAGTGTATCCAGACCCTACGCTAAGCTTAGCGACTTACCGTAGACGGACTTGACCCTTGTGTGGCTTGGGGGGAAATTCTGCTCTGTTTAATGGTTTAGAGGCTGTCAGGCCTCTCCTATAGCTAATCCCTAAGGTCTATACAAATATCAAGTGTGGACCGAGCTTTCGAGCTGATCCTACAATCGGACGAAGCTTCGTCCTAAATCCGAACTCCTACTGGGCATAAAGTGTACCCACTATGAAACTTCGGAGGCCTCGGCAGGCGGTTTATTTTGACCCGCCGAGACCCTCCTGTCACTCCGTAGTCTCTATCAATCTTCTGGGCACTAACGCGCGGGGAATGTGACCGACCAATCAGAGCCCTCGGTCAGCCATCTCTCGCAAGCTCAAGGCAGTTAGACCTCGGCCGGAACTCGCCCGGCCGCAGTCATTTCCCGATCTCACATTTGTACACCAATGCGGACCGGTCTTGACCTCAGGATGCGAAAGGGCTTCCAACAGCAAATCTTTGACAGGTTTTGAAGTATACTTTAATCAAGTTTAATGCTTATTCTGTAGGATACAGAATAAGAGTTGGGGTTAGAAGGGTTAATAAATTAGACCCTTTCCAACTCGTTTTTGACCCAAAACAATTATCAGATTGCTTCATTCTTTTCAGGACAAACCGTCTGTTTTGATCCATAAAGATTTGTCGGCACATTGCTGCCAGCCAGCCATTGGCCTTTCACAGTAGCAGCCACAATCACATCGCCGAACGACCGACCGCCTGCCTGACTGCCTGCCGCTCGCCATGGTGAAGAAGAAAGTGGACGCGCGCGTGCGGACGCTGCTGGAGAACTGCATCCAGGAGAACTTCCGCTCCTTCGTGGTGCTCGTGGGCGACCATGGCAAGGACCAGGTCATGAACCTGCACTACATCCTGTCCAAGGCGGCCGTCAAGGCGCGCCCGCGCGTGCTCTGGTGCTACAAGAAGGAGCTGGGCTTCTCCACGCACCGCCAGAAGCGCATGCGCCAGATAAAGAAGCAGCAGCAGCGCGGCCTGTACGACCCCAGCAAGGACGACCCGTTCGAGCTCTTCATCGCCTCCACCGACATCCGCTGGTGCTACTACAAGGAGACGCACAAGGTGCTTGGCAGCACCTACGGCATGTGCGTGCTGCAGGACTTCGAGGCTGTCACGCCCAACATCATGGCGCGCACGATCGAGACCGTCGAGGGTGGCGGCGTCGTCGTGCTGCTTCTGCGCACCATGGACAGCCTCAAGCAGCTCTACACCATGAGCATGGACGTGCACGCGCGCTTCCGTACCGAGTCGCACCAGGACGTCGTGGCGCGCTTCAACGAGCGATTCATCCTGTCGCTGGCCTCGTGCGAGCGCTGCGTCGTGCTGGATGACGAGCTCAATGTGCTGCCTATTTCCAAGCACACGCGCAAGATCGAGCCGCTACCCCCGCGCGACCCGGCCACGGAACTCACCAAGGACGAGCTGGAGCTGCAGGAGCTCAAGACGTCGCTGCGCGAGACGCAGCCGGTCGGCGCACTCGTGGAACAGGCGCGCACGCTGGACCAGGCCAAGGCCATCCTTACTTTCGTGGAGGCGGTGTCGGAGAAGACGCTGCGCTCGACGGTGGCCCTGACTGCAGGGCGTGGTCGTGGTAAGTCGGCAGCGCTTGGTATGGCATTGGCAGGTGCCGTGGCCTACGGATACAGCAACATCTTCGTGACGGCGCCCACGCCTGAGAATCTCAAGACCGTCTTCGACTTCGTGTTCAAGGGTTTTGATGCGCTCAAGTACAAGGAACACCTGGACTACGAAATCGTGCAGAGTACCAACCCGGAGTTCAACCACGCTGTTGTCCGCGTTAACATTTTCCGCGAGCACCGTCAGACGATTCAGTACATCCAGCCTACTCACCACGAGAAGCTGGCGCAGGCGGAGCTTGTGGCCATTGATGAGGCTGCCGCTATCCCGCTCCCCGTCGTCAAGAATCTGCTCGGCCCCTACCTGGTGTTCATGTCGTCTACCATCAACGGTTACGAAGGTACTGGCCGCTCGCTATCGCTGAAGCTTCTTCAGAAGCTGCGTGAGCAGCAGGGTAGCGCCGGAGAGGCCGCTGCGCGCGCTGTTGCTAGCATTCACGGCGACCAGAAGCGTCGTAAGGGCGAGCAGAAGTTGCACGAAGAGCGTTGGCAGGCTGCCAGCAATGCTGCTCACGCCGCGGCTGCTGGAAGCGCGTCGTCGTCGGCGCGTGTGCTTCGTGAGGTTTCCCTGGAGACGCCCATTCGTTACGCTCCGAACGACCCTGTTGAGCGCTGGCTGAATGCTCTGCTGTGCCTGGACGCGACGAACGCTTCCCACCGCTTGGTGGCCGGCACGCCCCACCCTCGTGATTGCGAGCTCTACTACGTGAACCGCGATTCCCTGTTCTCGTACCACAAGCTCTCGGAGAGCTTTTTGCAGCGCATCATGGCGCTGTATGTGTCGTCGCACTACAAGAACACGCCGAACGACCTGCAGCTGCTGTCTGACGCCCCAGCCCACCACGTCTTCGCTCTGCTGGGACCTGGCGCCGAGTCGCAGGGCAACGCTGGCCAGCTTCCGGACATTCTCTGCGTTGTGCAAGTGGCCTTGGAGGGTGAGATCTCAAAGGCGTCCGTGAAGGCTCAGCTTGCGCGTGGCCAGCGCGCTTCGGGAGACCTTATCCCCTGGACGGTCGCGCAGCAGTTCCAGGATTCGGAGTTCGCAGCTCTCTCGGGTGCTCGTGTGGTGCGCATTGCGACGCACCCCGACGTGACTGGCATGGGCTACGGTTCTCGCGCCATTGAACTCCTCACAAAGTATTACCAGGGTGAAATTACCAGTGATGTGGCTGATGCGGAGTCGGAAGACAAGGAAGAGGACAAGCCGGAGGATGAAGACGATGACGACGACGAGGAAGAGAAGAAGTCGAAGCTTCGCAAGGAAAAGATCAAACCGCGCAAGACCCTGCCGCCCCTGTTGCTGCCTCTGGACGAGCGTCCGTGCGAGCGCTTGCACTGGTTCGGCACTTCCTTTGGTCTGACACTACCGCTGCACAACTTCTGGTCTCGCGCCAAGTTCCGGTCGGTGTACATCCGACAGACGGCCAACGACCTCACGGGTGAGCACACGGCTATTATGCTGCGCTCGCTGCGTTGCGACGACCTGCCTGCAGCTCCCGCCGATGGTTGGCTCGATGAGTTCGTGGCCGACTCGCGTCGGCGATTCACTTCGCTACTTAGCTACGACTTCTCCAAGTTCCCGTGCGCTCTCGCACTTGGCCTGCTGAGCGACGAGGCCGCCCCGTCGACCGCTGGCTCAAACGACGAGGAGAAGCAGATCACTCTTCACCGCAGTGCCACCGGCGAGATCAGCCCTGCCGAGTTGGCGATGGTGCTGACGCCGTATGATGCCAAGCGCCTCAAGTCGTACGCGAAGAACATGGTCGACTACCACATGATCGTGGACCTGGTGCCATCTCTTGCGCGCCTGTACTTCTTGCAGCGTCTGCCGCAGATGTCGCTGTCGTACCTGCAGCGAGCCATCCTTGTGAGCCTTGGCCTGCAGCACCAGTCGGTGGACGTGATCCAGCAGGAGCTGAATGTGCCTTCCAACCAGCTCTTGGCGCTGTTCAACAAGGCAGTGCGTAAGTTCCTCAACCAGGTTGAACAGCTCATGGAGAAGCAGCTGGAGGAGGAGAACGCTAACAGCAAGAGGCTGTCGGAGGTGGCTGCGCAGTCGCAGGCCATGACGCCGACGGAGACGACGCTGGACGAGGAGATGCGCGAGGGCGCTCAGGCTGAGAAGGCCAAGCAGCAGCAGAAGCTTCTGGACAGCCTCAACCTGATGAAGTACGCCGTGCGCGGCGACGACGCTGACTGGGACAACGCTCTTGCTCAGGCCGAGAACGGCGGCGCTGTCGTGCAGGTGAAGAGCAAGAAGCAGAACAAGTCCAAGAAGGAGTCGAAGGACCCCAAGGAGTCCAAGAAGGAGCACAAGCACAACAAGCGCTCGGTGGACGGAGACAGCGACCGCAAGAAGAACAAGAAGAGCAAGAAGAGCAAATACGCCAACCTCAGCTAGATTGTAGTGCAGTCCGCCGCCTGAGGACGGCGCCGCTTGTGTCCTCCCTGAATATATAGAAGCACCAAACTTGTTCCACCATGCATCGGATAAGCAGTCCTGCCAGTAGAGACCACGCCAGTCTAGGGCAATAGCATCTACTCATCGGCGTGCTTGGGCCCCGTCGAGTGTTTGACGCTCGGCCCGCGTCGGCCGTGGTACGTGCCCGTCTTCAGGTCCCAGTCCGGGTCGACGCCGGCATCGCGCGAGCCGCTGTTGGCGTAGGCCCCGCGTCGGATCTGCGACGCGTTGAGCGGCTTCTCCTGAGCCGTCAAGTTGGCTCCCTGCATTCACTCGAGCAGCAGACCAGTGAGCGGCGACGCCCCATCAAACCTACCTATTAAAGGACTCTGGGCCACGCACCTTGGTGTAGTGCGCCACGAACGGGATGGAGAAGAAGCCGGTGGCCACGACGAGGGCAAACCCCACGACGGGTCCGTTGCTGCCCTTGGCCTTCATGGCGCGCTTCCCCGCAGACATCGTCGGTCAGAAGGTTGATCGATTGATTGATACCGCTTACGCTAGTCCCGTATCCTATGCTTATTTACGGGACGCTGATGATTCCGTCGATGCTTTGGCTAAATCTGAGATCGGATGGGACTTTCGTCCAACAGCCGTTTGCGCAGGGGCCTGCACGCGTTGATCACTTCATCACTGCTGCTCGCTCTGCTCGCGAGCTTCTGGCCCGAGCCGCTCACTCCCGAACCCGACGCCTTGGACGCACGCCTCACCTCAGCAGCCCTCCAGCACTCCAGCACCCCCGCCATGTCTCTCACGACCAAGCAGCGCGCACTGGCCGCCGTGACCGGCGGCTTCGTGGCCGACGCCGCCACGATGGGCCTGCACTGGATTTACGACGGAGACAAGATGAAGCAGCTCGTGGAGGCGCGCGGCGCAGCGGGCCCCGAGTTTTACGAGCCGCCCTCTTGCCCCTTCTACTCGTACGAGAGCGGCGCGCTGTCGCCGTACGGCGCCGAGATCTTGCCGCTGCTGGAGGACGTGGCTGCGCGCGGCGAGTTCGTGCCGGAGGAGTTCGCCATGGCGTCCTACCGCGCGGCCAAGGCCTACACGGGATACCTGAACGGCGCGTTCAAAGAGATGGTGGCCAAGGGAGACGCCGGCAAGAAGTACCCAGAGCTGGCATCCCCCAGCAAGGACCTGCACGGCGGAATCAAGGCGCCAATTCTGGTCGCGCGCTACTTTGAGGACACGCCGCTGCTGCTGCAGAAGACGCGCGAGGCCGCGCGGGTACACGAAATCGGGGAGGAGGCCGAGAATGCGGCAGTGGCCACAGCGCTACTCATCCAGCAGGTGGTGCAGGGGGTCTCGGTGACGGACGCCATCTCGGCGCTCGCTTCCAACGAAGCCGTCAGCGCTAACACGCGTGCATCCGTCCAGCAAGCGATCGATGCCGCGAAGGCAATGAGTTTCCCGGACGCTACAGCTGCCATCGCGCACTTCGGCAAGGCATGCCCTTTGCCGGGGTCTCTGCAGGGCTCGCTGTTTGTGCTGTTGACATCCAGTGGCTACGTGGAGGCGCTGCGTGCTAATATGTTGGCTGGCGGAGACAGCTGCAGCCGCGCTGTCGTGATCGGTGCTGTGACCGCAGCGGCGCAAGACGGAGATGCTGTCCCAGCCGAGTGGAAGCAGAAGGCCAAAGACTACGCGGAAGTCCAGGCACTTGCTGAGAAGATCATCCAGTGATACCGAACCATAGCTGAGGAAGGACCCACGTTAACTTCATCCTATGACAAGTAGCTAGTATTGCCACAGGACCTGTTTCTTACAGAGCGAGTCCAGCAATGTTTTTTGCCCTTCAGCGTAGACTACCTTAAAGGGTTGAGCACTGCCACCGGTAGGGGTCAAACAAGAGTGAAAATGACCCCGATTGGCGTGCGACAACGTTGCGAGACAAATTAACTCTGGCTTGGATTCGCGCCGGTTGCAGCAAAAGCAGGGGGAAAGTAAGTAGTGTTCTCCATTTACCTGTAAGGTGATTTTAGTTCCGCTTACTTCCCGGAAGTGAGGTAAATTTACAGGCATCTGAGTAAGTGTCGATCATCCTGGACAGTATGCTTCTCTATAATACATCAACTTGTTTGGACTAGTCACTCCCGCACGACTTGCATTTCCCTTCTGCGAGGAATCGATGCGAGTCAGGTAAATAACAATGTCGAGCTTGGTAGGTTGTGCAGGTGGTGCTGATCGTTGAAATGCATCCAAGAAAGAACGCGTTTTACCTCCAGGGACGCAGACGCGCATGGTAGTCGAATTGTTCGGATGAGTATGTCTAAAGAGTACTTCTACAACGGACGGCGACGACTTAACTGGAAGACGAAGAACGAGGAGTGAAAGAGCAAACTGCTCGGACGGAGGATTGGAGGGAGGGCACACGCTTCGCTATTCCGGAGCCTTCTGGTATTATTATCTCTACCAGTAACCTAAAAAAAGTTCCAAATTAACCGGGGTAAGTCTTACCGTTAAGGGTACCGTATTTTAGAACTCATACTACAGAGAGATCTCATAATTCGGAGAGATAGTGCATTTGCGACAGAATATGGCCATTTTTGGCAAGAAAGACCCAAAAATGCGCACAAAACGGGTGAAATGGTGCAAAGACAAAATACAACAATACAACTTCAAGAATATGGTGTATGAGGTATGAGATCTCAAATACGGTAAGTGCGAACACTACTAGTACGCAAGCCCAGCGACTCTAATATACGCCACATTGAATGCAAAACACACCCCACGGACTACACCTTTCCCCGGCCATTGTTGGCCTTTTCCGCAACCAAAGTTGACACAAATTTTGGAGGTAGTTGAAGTTGACAAAATTCTGGTCAAAGTATCAGATTCATTTCAAGCAAATTCGTCTAATCTTCAACCAATGTTGGCGCTTACGTACAACGTTTTGAGCTCGCCCTTGCGTCCTGCAGCACGACTCCTGTTGCTGTAGGCGCCGCAAAAAGCTTTCATTTCCCAACTCACCACCAAGCCTAAAGATGCCTTCTCAAGCTTCACTCAAGGCGCACAGCCCCGAAGAGCGCCGCAGAGGCCTGGACGCGTACAACTCCGGGGGCGACTGGCAGGCTGTCGCGCGCCACAACGGCTTTCCGCGGACGACAGCGTAATACCTGGCGAACTCGGGCCGCGTGGAGAACCTCCCGCGCGGTGGCGCGAGGGGGGCGAAGGTGACGCCGGCGATCAAGGAGGCGCTCGAGTCCTACCTGAACGAGTGCTACTCGTACACTCTGAACACTATGCAGGACCTCATCATGGACGACTTCCAGGTGCACCTCCCTACCTCGACCATCTCCCGCCACCTGCTCGACATGCTGTACACCGTGAAGCAGGTGAGACTCGCTTGTTACACTGCATTGTAGATGACGATTTATAATTAACGGTGCTGTACAATAATTGTCATCATAGGATCGTATCGAGCCGTTCACGTGCAACAGTCCGGAGAACAAGGAGAAGAGGAAGCAGTTCGCCGAAGAGCTCGTCAAACACCACAACGAGGGCAACCTCGTCGTGTATTTTGACGAGACTACCTACAACTTGTACGTCAAGCGTACTCGCGGGCGCGCCAAGAAGGGAGAGCGCGCCGTGGAGAAGCTACCGCCCTCCAAAGGGGCGAACCTGCAGATACAGTGCGCTGTGTCGTCTGCTATCGGCGTCGTTGCGTACCGAACGCATCGCGGCAGCATCAAGATGCAGACCAATGCCGACTTCATCGAGAACCTGTACGACATCGTCAAGGAGTAGGACGTGTACAAGTCCGAGTATGCGGACAAGAAGGTCGTGATCGTGTTTGATAACGCGCCAGCTCACAATCAAACGGAGGTGCTCGTGAAGCCCCGTGAAGACCTGGTCCTGCTACGCCTTGGACCCTACAGTCCAATGTGTAACCCTATCGAGAGCTGTTTCAGTGTGCTAAAGTCGCACATTAAACAGTACCTAGCGCTCATGCGCGAGGAGATGCTGCAGCCAGGGTTCCAGACGGACGACGAAGGCAAGAAGCTTACGAAGACGGAGGCGCGCATTCGTCTTCTGGAGCGCGCGGCCCACGTGTCGATGCCCTGCATTACGCAGCAGTTGGTGCTCAAGATGGAGCTTCACGCGCGTGACTTCGTCAATGCGACGCTGCGCATGGAGGACATGCAGTACGGGATGTGACAGGGAACGGTAAGTGCGAGTCCCCAGGAAGAGTGCCATCTTTGGTTGAGGATTAGGCAGCTTTGAATGAAATGAATTTCATGATTTGGGAAATATTTTGTTAACTTCAACTACCTCCAAAATTTATGTCAACTTTGATTGCGGAAAAGGCCAACAATGGCCGGGCAAAGGTGTAGAAACATGCTGTCAAAGCATTTTGACTGTGTGCGGCGTCCTCGCCGAGATTGGAGGTGTTATGATTTGCCTTTGGTTGTCGCCGTTGGCGCAACGGTGGTGGTCGTCTCATGGATCGAAGGTGCTGGCGAAGTCGTCAGAAGGAGAGAGGTCGTGGAGACAAGTGAGGAGAAGCTGCGGAGCAGCAGACAGGTGTTGAAGTAGTTCGAGTGGTTGGCAGAGTAGCTACAGCCACAATGCATTGAGCAAGTAGGAGCTCAGTCTCAATTCGGCAGGTTCAAGCGCAAGAGGGCGAAGACAGAGTGAGCAACGGAAACAAGTTGTGTATTTGTGCATTTACGCAGCTTGGCTACTCCTGTCTTCCTTATCGGTGGCGGGTGCGGCAAGAATCGAGCGGCAAAGACCTCGAGGAAGCGCGCACACCGGATCGACCGGGCCTGGATCGTAACAGGGTTATAGAGCCTAAGGCCCATCCGGGCTACACGCGTGTCTGGCGGCATCACTTGGAGACCGGCGGAACGCCGGAGAGCAAGTTCTGCGAAAAGAACTGGGAGACCGAGCGGAACGCCGGAGAGCTGGTTCTGAAGATGATGTCGGGCAAGGTAGAGATCAACAAGCACCACCGACCGGTGGGATGACACGGGCAGGCGTGGGTCTACTACAAGGAAATGATGGAGCTTGCTTTTGAGGAGCAAGGAGTGATGAACTACGCGAGTGGGAAGGAGACGCTGACCCCAGGCGTCAACGACAAAGAGAACAACGCGGGCCAAGTGAAGGTGAAGCAGCTTATTATGGCATCGTTGTCAATGGCGTTGGGCCAGCGGGTGATGATGAAGCGCACAGGCACGGACATGTGGAAGTACCTCGTGTACACGTACGAGGGCAAGACGAACGCGGCGACGCGAGTGAACCAAGAAATTATCCTGTTCAACTGGTTGCAGACGATGAAGTGCAAGCTGGGCGATAATGTGGCACAGCACGTGGACAAGGCGTTCATGATGAAGGACCAGTTGGCGGCGTTGAACGCGGATGTGAGGGATCCAATTGCTGATCCAGTCGCTGCCGACCAACGCGCGGTTCGCCAGATTGCGCGGCATGGTGGAGAGCGGGGCGGACGTGGTGGACACTCCGGAGAAGGTCAAGGACCAGATCCTGCGGATGCACAGCTACAACGAGCGCGACAAGATGTTGCAAGTGTACGAGGGCGGCAGAAAGCAGCACGGCACGTGGGCACAAGATGTCGATTCGGTGCTAGTGACTGACATGCAGCAAGGGCGGTGCTTTGGATGCCACCAAGCCGGGCATCGCAAGGCGGAGTGTCCGGAAGACAAGGACAAGGACGAAGTGGACGGCGACTGCAAGGACATCAAGGACACAGCGATCCATGTAACGGGGTTACACGCACAAGTGGCTACAGTCACTTGTAACTCTAACAGACACGACGTCTGTTAGAGGTTCGAAAGACTTTCTCGTCCTTGGTGTAGACACACCAAAGACTACATACATTTAGGATCACCACGACGGGTGGTCCATAGAGACTTAGGATTCCTATTGGTGGAGAGCAGCATCTTTTAGCCAATGAGTGACATGCATAGCATTGGAATTCTGCCCTCCAGCCGTTGGCAGATTCCTAGTTTAGAATATTATATTTATAGGAAGTCAGAAACATAAAACACAAATAGCAGTTCTCATCCTTTACCAAAACACGCTACTTGGAGTCTTTATCTTGTTTAAAGTATACTCGTGGATCTCGAGTATACTTAACTCAAGTAAAAGAAACCTACGCTTCCTCATACACGTGCCCATACGTGTAAGCCGTAGTAGTGAGCCAAGATAGGCCCATTACACCTGGTAGCATTTGTAGTCCGTCCAACGACCGACTACCTGAGTACGTACGTCACCGCACGAACGCGGAGCTGAGAACCTTCCCATGGATACGGAGGTGTCCATGGAAAGCTCCACTATGCCTGCAACTCACGTTGCACGCGCTGACTGTCCCCACCTGTCGGACCCAGAGTGGGAAGCTCTCCAACGACTGTCACAGGTCATTGGTGAGGCGGCTGTAGCTACGATGCTGCGTACGCTAACGCCGACAGAGCAACACGGTGTTGCTCTGGGATTCATCATGAGGGAGCAGCGAGATGCTGCTTCGTCTACCACGGTGTCGTCGGGGACAACACCGCGCGCGCAATCGCTGAAGATCAGCGTGAGCAATTACGTTGGAAGAGAGGGCGAGCCTCTCCTCCGTTGGCTTGTCGAACTCGACACTGCCATTGCGGCTCGACGCATCGTCGACCCGTTGTCGAAGGTCGCGTTCGCCATGTCATGTCTTGGCGGACGTGCAAGAAGTTGGGCGTATGGACGCCGACTCTCGGATCCTACGTGCTTTAGCACGTACGAGGGTTTCAAGGAAGAGCTCAGACAAGCGTTTGAGCCCCCGCAAAACGAGTTGCGGTCGAGGGCGGAGTTCCTCGACCTGCAGCAGGGCAAGCATGATGTCCATGCTTACGCTCAGAGAGCACGGTACTTGGTCTCGAACATCGTGACCAATCCGATCGACGAGGCGACCAAGGTCGTCACGTTCATGAAGGGGCTGAGAGATGGGCCTGTGAAGACCTATCTCTTCCGTGAGTACCCGAGTACTCTCGAAGCTGCAATTACTCTTGCAATGCAGGAGGAGTTTAGCCTGCGGCAGGCTAAGCTGCATGCACATGTGCCGAGGCCACAGCCACGCCCAGTAGTGAGGACGGGAGGCCCAGAACCCATGGACCTCTCGAGTGCTGCAACTGCTGGACCCCAACAGTCGCAAGGAAACAATGTGCGATGCTACCGATGCGGTAGAATCGGTCACTTTGCTCGGGAGTGCATGGCCCCTTGCACCAGCAGGGTGGCTATCGCGGCGGTGCCGGGCACCGTCGCAACCAAACAAAAAACGCTGGACGCCAGTAGGCGCGGGGCGCCCTACGGGTAATGCAGTTCCGCGTGTCGACCTTGGACACGCGACACTGAGGACTGCAGTCCCCAGTGAGGTTCATTCTCACTGCAAGAACCAAGATGACAAGCCTGACCTTGTCATCCTGAACGTGAACTCGATGAGAGCAAGCGGCTCTGGTAGATTCTGGCGCGTCGAAGAACTTTGTTCGACTGCGAAGTCTATCAAGGCTTAACTTCGAGGATTTAAAGGTACCTCGAAGTATGTTGGAAGTACGACTGGCAACGGGTGCCATCGTAAAGACCGAGAAGCGTATGGTACGCGTGCGCTTCACGTATGAAGATCAAGAGTTTGTCGAGACCTTTATCGTCCTGGATCTGGACGATAAGTTTGACATTGTATTGGGCATGCCGTGGCTTGCACGACATGATCCGGTCATCGATTGGGAGAAGCGCACTCTCGTGTGCTTCGGTCGCGACCGCGGAATAGTGAGCGATGGCTCTGTTGCCGCTACGCACACACCGACAGGTGCGCGCGACTCCCCACTCGAGACAGCGCCTAATGCCGCTGTCCCGGAACGCCCTGGGCGCGCGCGAGCACGCGCGCAAGAGCAGCAAGCGTCGGCGTCGCCGCCGACGGCTGAAGGAGAAAATGTGTTGATCTCGGAGATCGACACCCGCTTTTCAGCGAATCAGGAAGAGTCTCCGACCTCAAGGGGCACGGATGACGCAGACGAGTCACACGCCTCAGCTGTGGAGGCTGACGCGAATCTGATTGGATCAGGTCTGGCCAATAATAAGAGCCAAGGTGACGTAACGCCGTCGACTCCGGGAGTCGATGGCTTGGGTGAATTTGATTCGTCGGCTCGGGGAGCCGACGCACCCTCCGTAATGAGGGTCTCCGCCGATGGTTGGCGTCGAGGTGAAGATTGCTTGTCGGCTGCGGGAGCCGACGCTGCAGGCGGTGCGGACTGTTGCAAACGTCCCGCACCGGAAAAACTTGCATGCTGTCGTGCAGCCGGGCTGCACGACGAAGCGCCGGGCGACCAAGCCGGGCTTGAAGTCGGTCGCCCGCGGGATGAACCCGCCGGCGGTACTAAAGAAGAACACCCGTCCACGGCTGGGCCTGGACGAGGTCAAGAACCAAGCGGAGCCGGGCTCCGCAAAACAAGAAGACGTTGCATGCGAAGGTCGCTGCGCAAGTCTCGGCCTGGGGCCGAGACGCTACAAGGAATGTCTGCCGGGCAGACGGAGGCTGAGAAGCCGGACGTTAAGACGTTGAACGTCTTGACGCGTACCTGTGCCGGGTTCCGGTACAGGGAGATGACTCTCGCTAACCCTCCGACGCAAGCGTCGGAGTTGACTTTGCTTCCAGTCATGAGCTGGAAGCACTTCGCGCGTGACTTGCACGATGGACGCATCGAGCAAATATGCATTCTCTCGGACGCCGAGAGAACGAAGAGCGAGAATGAAGAACTGAGGCAGTTCTTCATGGAGACCACCATTGAGAGCGAGGACACTCTCAGTGTGAAGACGAAGAAGGAGCGCTTTGAAGAGCAGAGCTGGGACTCGTTGAAAACGAGTCCCTAGTACGAGATCGTACGGGAGTACGTGGACGTACTTCCGGAAGAGATTCCTGCGGAGCTTCCGCAGGATAAGGGCATCCAGCACGAGATTGATCTCGTTCCGGGGACGAAGTACTGTGTCACGCGGCAGTGGCCACTGCCGCGAGAGCAGGTCAAGGCGATCGACGACTTTTTTGAGAGTCGTCGCAAAGCTGGACAAGTGCGGGAATCGAAATCCCCGCACAGTGCTCCGACGTTCTGTGTCAAGAAGCCACAGGGCGGTTGGCGCATCGTTCATGCGTACAACAAGCTGAACGATGCGACGATACCGGCGCAAACACCGATACCGCGAAAAGATGTCATCATCGATTCGATGGCCAGGAGCACTATCTACAGTAAAAGCTCTTGATCTGCGCGATGGATTCTATCAGATCCTCATGCGTGAGAGCGATATCCCTCTCACGGCCGTGAGCACGCCGAGCCGCATGCTCGGGGGTGGCTAGTGATGCCGCAGGGTCTGAAGAGCCCCTGCGACCTTCAAAAGGTGCGTGACGCACTTGTTGCGCTCGGTGCGCGACTTCGCACCGAGCTACTTCGACGATGTGTTCGTCCACATCCGAGCTGCGGACGGGATGAGCGACGTTGAGATGCACAAGGTGCATCTCCGGAAGCTGCTTGCGTTCATGCGCAAGCACAAGCTCTATGCAAACCTGAAGAAATGCATCTTCGGGGCGAGCGAGATACCCGTGCTCCGGTGTCTCGTTGGGAAGAACGGTGTCCACCCTGACCCTGAAAAGGTCAGAGTGATTAATGAGTGGCCGACGCCGTCGAACGTCAAGGAACTGCGGCAGTTCCTTGGCTTCGCCACGTACTTGTGCAAGTACGTGAAGGACTACGCGGGCATGATACGCCCGCTGTCACAGCTCCTGAAGAAGGACGTCGAGTGGGTTTGGACTGCTGAGAGTCAGCAGGCCTTCGATGCAGTCAAGCAGGGCTTGACTGAGGCGCCGATCGTGGCGGTGGCCGACCAAGATCGCCCGTTCCACGTTGTGTGTGACGCATCCGACTTCGCAATCGGATGTGCGTTGATGCAGCGCCATCACGAGGGTCGTGATCGTGTCGTCTACTACCAATCGCGCCAGCTGAAGCCAACTGAGCGCAACTACCCCGTACATGACAAGGCGCTCCTTGCCATGAAGTACGCACTCGCGAAGTTCCGAGTGTATCTACTCGGAAGCAAACCGTTCGTGGTCTACACAGACCACGCGTCGCTGCGGACGGCTGTGAAGTCGCCGCACATCTCGCAACGGATGGCGAGATGGCTCTCATTCTTCCCAGAGTATAACTTCCGGGTTGAGTACAAACCCGGAAGACTCAATGAGGTGACCGACGCGCTCTCGCGTCGACCTGACTACGCCACGACTGATGCCGACGTCAATGCCATTGACGCCATGCGATCGAGCACCCCAACGTCGTCACTGTTGGACGACGTGAAGGTCGCTACGCGCACGACGCGGACGCGAAGCTCTTGCTGGCCTACGGCTCAGCGCCTTCTGACCAAGCTCGTCAGAAGCTGCCGAAGCATCTTCGTGCTCGTACACACCGTTACCGGGCGCACGACGGATTATTACTCTACAGTGCAGTCGACGACAACGCGGCCCGCGTTGTCGTGCCCAATGACCATGACCTGCGACTCAGGATCATGTACGAGTATCACGATGCACCGACTGCGGGGCATCCGGGCCGTGAGAAGACATACCTTCTTC